CACTCACCCCTCTGGCAGGTAACACACTCTGGTCCCGCACCCCTCTGGCAGTTAACACACTCTGGTCCCACAACCCTCTGGCAGGTAACACACTCTGGTCCCACAACCCTCTGGCAGGTAACACACTCTGGTTCCACACCCCTCTGGCAGGTAACACACTCTGGTCCCACAACCCTCTGGCAGGTAACACACTCTGGTCCCACAACCCTCTGGCAGGTAACACACTCTGGTCCCACAACCCTCTGGCAGGTAACACACTCTGGTCCCACACCCCTCTGGCAGGTAACACACTCTGGTCCCACAACCTCTGGTAGGTAACACACTCTGTACCACAACCCTCTGGCAGGTAACACACTCTGGTCCCACACCCCTCTGGCAGGTAACACACTCTGGTCCCACAACGTCTGGTAGGTAACACACTCTGGTCCCACAACCCTCTAGCTGGTAGGTAACACACTCTGGTCCCACAACCCTCTGGCAGGTAACACACTCTGGTCCCACAACCCTCTGGCAGGTAACACTCTGGCCCGCACCCCTCACTCTGGTCCCACAACCCTCTGGCAGGTAACACACTCTGGTCCCACAACCCTCTGGCAGGTAACACACTCTGGTCCCACAACCCTCTGGCAGGTAACACACTCTGGTCCCACAACCCTCTGGCAGGTAACACACTCTGGTCCCACAACCCTCTGGTAGGTAAAAAAAAATAACACTTAGTTAATATTTGTTAATGTTAGGTTAAGTTAGTTTAAGTTTTCTATTTCACAATTCATTAATACCTAATATGATGAAGTACATGATCACCGATGGCCAGTCAGAAGCTTAAAATAATACATAGAAGTTATCGATATTAGGCAATTATCCCTGTTTAGTTTAAGCTTTTACAAATCATCAATCGTTTTTGTCAAATAGAGATAACTTTTTGGTTTTACTACTACAACTTAATATTAATTCGTATATTGTAAGATTTTGTATATTTCTTTTCAGCCCTTGCTTACTGCCATATGATGTTTAATTTATACTTTAAATAGGTTAGGTTAGGTTTGGTCAGGTCAGGTTACATTTTGTATGAAGGTATTCATTTATTTGTACATTTATGATCTACAGGATCGTTTATGGCCGGTGAAAAATTTCCCAAAAAGAGAAATACCTAGAATTTATCACTAATCGTCAATTATGCATATTTAGTGTAACATATAGTATATATTCCGTTTATATTTGTTTGTTTTCATATTATTTTAGTCAATTATTTGTTGACATTAAATTACAATAAGTAAATATTATTAAAAACAACACTGAAAAACACACAAGTGACTTTGTAACATATAATTAGGTCAAGATAATAATACAAATACAACGTGCTGGTCAATCTCCGAAAGAGTTGTCCGGGGGTCTAGCTAACCTCTGGTCGGGGCTTGACCAGCACGAAAAAAAACAAAAAATTATTTTGGTGATACGTGGTGTAATGGTCAGCATGCTCGACTTTTAAGCGAGTCGACCCGAGTTCGATTCCCAAGCAGGGTAGGACTGTTTTTTTTTTTTTTTTTTTACGTCATTTGTCTCTGTCGACCCAGCAGTAATTAGCGACCTGGATGTTAATCGATTAGTGGATTGTGATCGGGATAATGGTTAGCCAGTGCAGTTGGCGAGTTGTCCAGTCTTCTCGGATTATTCCTTGACGCTAGGTCATGCAACTCGTTAACTTAGGGCAGTGATTCCCAACGTGGGGCCTACGCCCCACTGGGGGGCAATTCAATAATAATAGGGGGGCAATATGAAAAATATAGTAATATCAACATTTTTTTTTATTTTACCCTATATGGGTAAAAATTATAAATTTATAGGGTAAAATTGTAATTACAACCTAGCTGAGCACAACAGCTTGTGCAATCTAGTCAAGTGTTCACCCACTAATGTTATCGTGCATCTGGCACCAGCTATATGCGTGGCTTCTGACTTGTTTAACTTTGCAGTTCTTCATCTGCTGTCAAGGAAGAAGGTGAGTTTTAGTCAGCTGCTCAACGCTCCCACTGAAGCTAAAAAAACAGAGGAAACTAACTACAACCAAATTAAATGTGCACAATAAAGCATGGAAGCAGTATTGAATTAAACACAAATGCAAGTTTCATGTTGATATAGTTATCTGTCTCTGTTTTTTAGCTTCACTGAGAGGGCTGGTTAAAGTGCTTTTCATTATGATTATTGATCTTGTTATTCTCTGAAAATAATGTATAAAAATAATCATTCATTGATCTTGTCACAGTAACATTAATTTAAAACTGTGAATATAAAGCTCAATATTTACTTGAAATGGCAACTGCATATTGACATTGTGCCTTGTATGTTACAGAAGTTAGATATTAAATTTATTTTCCTAAGTATATAAATATTTTATTTTCACTTTTCAGTTACCCCCATGATGCATAAAATGAACAGTGTGCACGCCAAAAAAAAAGTTCGCCAGTATTCAGATGAGTACTTGCTGTTTGGGTTCATACCAGCGACTCATGATGAAAGGTTGCCTTTTTGTCTGTTGTGCCACCAATGTTTGACTAATGAATCCATGAAGAGAGGTCGTCTCGAAAATCATTTGAAGGCAAAACACAGTATTCATGTTAATTCAAAACTGGAGTATTTTAAATCCCTAAAGGAGAAGTTTGAAAAAAGATCAACAATAAATTCATTGTTCTCTGCAAGAAGTGCAAGCAAGGATCGTGGTCTTGAGGCTAGTTATGAAATTTCTCTTCTCATAGCAAAATGTTGCAAAAATCATACAATAGGGGAGAATTTAATTAAGCCCGCAATATCAACTTTTCTGAAAGTAGTTCTTGAAAAAGATGACCAAGATCTCAAAAGCATGCCGCTCAGTAATAATACTGTTAGTAGCAGGATTGATGAAATGAGTTGTGATGTAGAAGTACAACTTGTTGAAAAATTAAAATATACAAATTTTTCAATACAGTTGGACGAATCAACTGTAAGAGATAGTGAAGCTCTGTTAATGGCCTATGTAAGATATGTTGATAATGGAGAATTTATTGAGGATATGCTATTTTGCGAAGCATTAGAAACCACCACTATTGCAATTGATAAATATAAGAAATTAAAAACATATTTAGATGATAAGCAGATACCAATGGAGAACATTATATCTTGTGATGATGGGCAAGAAAAATGGAGTTTTAAAATTATTGAAAGACGACAATCCCCAAATGTTGTTAGTGCATTGTGTTATTCATAGACAGAATTTAGTTTCCAAAAAAGTTTCCCCTGTTCTAAACGAGACATTGAATGCAGTTATAAAATGCATCAACACTATAAAAGCTAATGCCAAATGTGAGCGTCTTTTCAAACAATTTTGCTAGGATCAAAATGCAGACTATGTAAGATTATTACTTCATACTGATGTAAGGTGGTTATCAAATGGGAATTGCCTGAAAAGATTCATGGAATTATTTGATATTCTTAGTGAGTTCTTGGATGACAAACCTTATATGACTCTGTTACTGACAGTTGATGGTAAAGCACTTGTCAGTTATTTAGCAGATATATTTGAAAAACTCAATGTCTTAAATAAGGAGCTCCAAGGAACAAATATGACTCTTGTTAATTCAAAGGCCAAGATATTTGGCTTTATATCATTTCTGGAATTATCCCAAGAAAATATTTCTGTCAAAAAATTTGAACAATTTTATTGGCTGAATAAATGTGAGGTAACAGATGCTACTTGTCTTGTTATTGTGGAGCACTTAAAAATAATGGTAAGCGATTTCAACTTCAGATTTTCTGATTTGAAAGAAATTAATTATCCATCTTGGATGACTCAGCCATTGCTAGTGGATCTGTCAGATGTAACCATGGAGTATCAAGGAGAACTTTCAGAATTACAAAATGATGACTCGATTAAAGCCCTGTTCAAAATAAAAGGAACAATGATGTGGCTCTGTGAAGAAACACAAGCTAAATATCCAAATACAAGTAGTTTGGCAAGAAAACTACTGTTACCATTCCCATCGTCATACTTAGTGGAATGTGGATTTAGTGCTGTGAATGACTTATTACTGAAGAAAAGAAACTGACTGGATATCACTAAACGAGGCGACTTGAGATTGAAATTAACAACATTTCTGCCTCGGATAAAATCTCTTTGCAGTAGACATCAGGCTCAAGGGTCTCATTAATTGATTGTAATTGAATTTATTTAATCTGATGGTAGATATGTTATACACATTATAAAATGGATTTTATTTGATTAAATTTGAAGTTAAACCCTTTAGTTTTATTTGAAAGATACAATTTTTTATGTTATACTTCTTCAAAACTGATATTGTTATATCATACTAAACAATTAACGGGTGGGGGACATGAAGAAATTTGTGATAAAAAAGTGGGGCATGGTACTAAAATGGTTGGGAACCACTGACTTAGGGTGTGGTAGTTGTGTTGTCTATAGCTTCTACACGTTAAACAAATTCACGCCTTGGACCGGCCCATCCTCGTACACGAGGGGCAACCATTAAAATTACTTGAGTAAATGTTATAAGTATATACTGCAGTTAGTCTATAGTATAAAAGACAAAGAACATCAAAATATATATATTTAGTTCCAGGGTTTATTTAGTTATTTATTACTTGCACTTATTACTGGTATTTGTTTTCCTCTCTTCTGTATAGTTTAAATCTTTACTGTTGTTTTGAGTAACTTTAGATTTAATTATTTTTCTCCGAAACTTACGTCTTTTACATTTTTTTCAGAATACATCATAATATCATATCACCCATGATGATTATCCTGTATGTAAAACGAAAAAAATGATAACACTTAGTTAATATTTGTTAATGTTAGGTTAAGTTAGTTTAAGTTTTCCATTTCACAATAATTAATACCTAATATGATGACGTACATGATCGCCGCTGGCCATTCAGAAGCTTAAAATAATACATAGAAGTTATCGATATTAGGCAATTATCCCTGTTTAGTTTAAGCTTTTACAAATCATCAATCGATTTTGTCAAATAGAGAAAACTTTTTGGTTTTATTATTACAACTTAATATTAATTCGTATATTGTAAGATTTTGTATATTTCTTTTCAGCCCTTGCTTACTGCCATATGATGTTTAATTTATACTTTAAATAGGTTAGGTTAGGTTTGGTCAGGTCAGGTTACATTTTGTATGAAGATAGTCATTTATTTGTACATCCTCCTACACTCATTTTCGTCTCCTAACTTCGTCTAACAATAACGTATAAAAGTTTCTGACCTGAAATGTATCGCCAAACTCCTTTAAGTTTGTCCCTGTGAAAGTTTCTAGCGACGAGGAATAAGTTTCAGAATATATCACTTGTGGGGGTACTGGTGTAACATTAATCGGGCACTTTTTTTCTACGAGAGGCGTATAAATACTTCTGATCAGGGAAGTTATTATCAAATTTCACAGGCTTAGCGAAGTAGAAGCTTATGTACTGAAGAACTTTTGAACTTGTCAAGACGCAAGAGAGGGAGGTATGTGTGTGTGAGTGTGACTGCAATTTTCCTCTATGTATTTACGCATGTGCACTCATGTATATTTGAACACATGAGATTATGTAGTGTTACTCTATACACTCGGGCAATAACATCATCCAGTAAGAGCCTTCACTAAGACTCACTGTATGATAGACTTTGATCCACACACTGTATCAGCAAATGTATTTATATGTTGATCCTGGACGGCTACGAGTCACCAGCGACCCTAAATCATATGGCCATTAAAAGTGTAATTTGTACACAGTAAACAGTCTAGTAAACTTATTTGAATGGACACCAAGTTTACCGTAATCATTTGTTTGAAACCCATTGAGTAGATCAGTGCACTTGCATGCCTCTAGATGGAGTGTGTGTGTTATATGTGTTTAACCCCATGTACCAGTGTTGAGTTTAATGGATCACTGTTCCTGGAATGTATTTTGTTTTTACTGTAAAGCTGAAGTTTGTTTCCATACGATTAGATATTGTATTTCCTTATTCTTGATCATTCCTTTGCCAAATAAGTACATTGCGTCATCTACATAAATTGTGAAAGCTTCTGTAAACACGTTATTTTTCTATTTGCCTGGGATAGTATTAGCGCCAAGTTATTATTAATTTGTGTAGATGAGTACACTTTTAATAAAAAAAATCCGCTGGTGCATTTATTATTTTCTTATGGCAAGAGTAAGGTACATATTTGTAACTTTGTGTATTATGTAGTTAACTATGTTTGAGGCATTAGTGCTTTACACCATGAAGTAGGTACAGCACATCATAAAACTTAAGCTTTCAGAAATTAAAAAACAAAAATAAGACCTCCTTCCCTGCTGCCTTACACATACTGTGGCTCTAACTCTCCTGTCCGTTGTGATTTTCCACCCTGTCCGACCCTCCACTGTGTCAGCTGACGTGTTCAAACAAAAGAACGTCGGTTTCCGCAGTTACAGACATCAAAATCTAACCATCTATTATTCTTCATCACTTCAAACCTCATAGTTTTCAATTCAATTAGTTTCAATGATAAATTATAATTAAACCCTTTCTGCCAAGGAGTATAATTAAATTAAAAGTATCGCAAACGTTTCCAAACGAACACTGGCGCACAACCCTGGTGCCCACAACTTATAGCATCCACATCGATACCTTTTCCCGGGCTACCTACCTCTTCTCCCTAGCTTATATCCTCACCAGGCAGGAGTCCTCCTCTCCCTACTACACCATAACTTCATAACCCAGGTATGTAATGTATCCTCGCTGGCACCAGAATAGGAAGCCCATGTTATTCTCCGTTAACCTCACAACTTGCCCAAACTCTAGCAGTTAGTCTCAGTGCGGTTATTCGGGCGACCAGACCACACACATGCCGCCGGCCGCCCAGCACCTGCAGGGAGAGCGATAAGGGAGGGAGGCAGTGAAACTCACTCTCAGGACTCTACAACACCCCCGGGGAGAGAGGCAGAGTTTTAACCCTCACCCAGAACAGCTTACGTTTCTCCACGAATCAGATTTAGTTAGACAGCAGTAATGTGTAACACCTGGAGTTATTGTTATTATCAATTAGTTTAGAGTGTAATAACAGTAATTACAATTAACATGTATGCTTTAGAGAAACATTCTGTGTAGGACAGTGAGTGAGAGTTAGAATAAAGAACTATATTGTATTTTAATGATGGTGCTATATTGACGTTACCATTTGTTGAGCCTAAGGACAAAAAAAATCATTTATTCTTACTAATCTTGCGTAATTCAGTACACTGATTAGTAAATTAATAGTTGCCATTGAAATCACTGTACCGACATGTTTGATTGATTGATTGAAATAGACATGTCGTAACGGTCGCATAGTAAATTATTGGTATTTGGTAATTCTTAGAAACTTATGAGTATATGTCATAATAATTTTCAATGGGATCAAAATAAGGTTTCACAAATATTTTAATATTCAGGCGGTAGATATATTTTAAGAAGTCTGGGTTTGAGAGGAGTGCATGGTGGTGGTCTCAGTGGGTCTGGGTATCGCAAGTTGTACGTCTGTTTGGTCCGGAATTTTAATTTATAATCATGGTAATGTAAATCCGTTGGTAGTTAGTACGTACAGTATATACCCATACTAATTGGTAAATATTTCCGCTAATTTTTTTTTAATAACACTAAACCTCCAGCCATCCATTAACTTGAAAATAGTCATAGTTGTATAAACACGACCAAAAGAATATCCTATTTGAAGTTTAGCCACTCAAGTGCTACCTGGGCGGGCAAGTCCTTAGATGATTCATAAATGTTAAAATTGCGAAGGATCTTGATCTCAACTTTTAAAAATCTCGATCTCGGGAAAAAAATAGATTTCTTGCTCAAGTAAAGTATGAGGAGTCACCCAGACCTTAGCCTAATTCTCTGGTAACACATAAGTAAACACACTAGAGCTATAGCCACAGTCAGGTAATAAAAATACTATTTTTTGGGGTTACATATAATATAAAATTGATAACGATTAGGTAAAAAAATGTTACTCTCATATTTTAAGTAAATTTACTTTTTCTACTCCTTTAGGATCAAATAAATGTAAACATTCAAAGCCCGGAATAGAGGCAACCAACTGTCACCTTGTCAGTCTAAGATATCTGTTTTCAAATAGGGATTCAATTTTTGTTTTGTAAAGAAAAAATAATTTTACGTTATTTAGTATTTCCTGATGAGCCCTTTAGTTTTAGGTTACATTAAAATATATAGAAAACAATTTGAGGATTATATTTGATATATTCTAATAGAACTTTATCTTTGTATATTAATCTTGGTAACACGTACAGATGTTTCATGGTAGTGATAATTTTAGTCTAAGTAAAATATCACGTGAAACAGCATCTATTAAGCGATTACTCCACAATACAGATTTATCTCTACACGGTCATTATTCCCTTATCAAACTGGTGTTTTATTATGGGTACGGGTTTACTCCACCCACTAGTTAACGAGGGCATAATAAGGTTAAAAGCCTATAGAAGCTCGCCTGATGCTCAGTACATTCCGTGTTGTTGTAGCTAATGGTAATAATTTAACAAGATAAAGTCACTTAAGTCCGATGACCTGAATTAATCCAAATTTAAGTGTATTTCAAATGGGAAATAATATCAGGCATCCTTAACCATGGAAATTAGAAGCTGTTTTGATTAGTAGTCCAGACCAGGTGTGTCCGTCACTGATGGCCTTATAGGTGATGGGAGGTTCGCCCACATACACATCAGTCAAAATGAAACTCACTGCGTGTACCGGATAGTTCCTCTCCATAATGATTTTTTTAAGTATGTGTTAGTAATCGCGAAGTTAGTCTCATCATGTATACTTCCCATCTGAATTATTTTAAACTGGTTTATAGCCTGTGTCGGTGTCTACACTATCACTCTACTTCTCTACCAGAGCTTCTCAACTGGGGAACCACAAAGTATTTTCTAGAGGGTCGACGGATTGAAAACATAGATGGTCTTGGAGATGCCACGAGTTATAAAACAATTACTAAATAATTCTTCTTAATAAAGTTGATACAATTCTGAGAGAGTATTTCACTTCCTCA